CCAGACAGAAGACAGCTGTGGAGGGAGAGAACCCGGACAGGTGCAGCGGGGCTGCCTGAGCATTCAGTGGGCCACTGATGAGCACTGTACACCAGGACATCACCTGAGGAGGCCCAGGCCTGCCCTGAGAGGATGAAATGTAAGGGAGTGCCCGGCGTGGAGCAGCACAGGCCCAATGGCTGTCCCTACCCTTCAGGTTGGAGATCTCCTCATTGGGAGGCACCTGGCAGGGTGCTCAGAAGGCCTTGCCTCCATAGGGTGGGAACATTATTCTGACACTAAGAGCTGCTTGGGCTCCATGCCACAGCACGCCTTCCAGGCAAGACTCCAAGGAATCCAACTCAGCTGATAGCATCCCAGAACACAGCTCCAGGGTCCCACAAAGGATACAGATACCCAGCACTCAAGGAAAGATGCCTGGGGCCGGCAGGTGGCATGATGGTTAAGGGTGCTGGACTTCATGGTTGACCTCGGTTCTGGTCCCGGACCTGGTGGCTTGCTTTCTCACTTTCTCTCTCCCTCTGTGGCCAAATTAAAATAAAGTTAAATAAAGAAGTAATTAAAAAAAAAAGGATGCCCATGTCTGACACCCAATCTACATCTAGAGATAGCCCAGCCAGGTAGCGTACACTGGATGCTGCTGCTCAGCAGGCTGGGGCCACACTGCATGGTTCAAGTGCCACCTGACAGCTTGAGAAACACACTGGGTATGTGTGTATGTCCGATCCCGAGAGGAGAATGGAGAAGAAGGGACTGCAGTGTGGCCATCTCCCCTGGGGGGTGATTTCTCACTTTCTACCTCTCTGTCTCTCTCTCTCTCTGTCTGGCAAAAATAAAATAATAAAACTATAACAGAAACCATAAAACAGTTGAAATTTTCAATTACAACATATTGCTTTTTTTTTTTGAGAGGTTTTGCTATACGGTGCGTGTGCTTGTCAGTAAAAAAGAGAGACAGGAAGTGGGAAATCACCTCCCGGGGGGATGGGCACACCACAATCCCTTCTCCTCCATTCTCCTTTCAGGATCTTGGGTATGCATGCACATGCGCCACTGAGTCCAGGACTCAAACTATGGTCGACTACATGGGAGTCCAGCGACATAGCCATTATGCCAACTGCTGGTCCTTTTCCTCAATTCTCCTATCGGGAGTTTGGGCATGCTCACACACAGGCCTGTCATGTTTTTCAAGCTGTGGGGTCTGGGACTTGAACCATGAAGTGGGCCATGTGGGAACCAGCCCTAGTAACCACCACACCACCGTCTGGCTCCTATAATGCATCTTTTTTTTTTTTTAAAGGTCACACATATTTATTACTGAACCAACCTACCAATGCAGAACTTAGAGACAAGGTGAAGCATCATTTTTTCCCAATAAACACAAGTGTCCAGCCAGTAGTGACAATTTTCAGCTTGACGTGGCAAGACCATAGTGACCTTGGTACAGTAGAAACATGTGGCCTATATCCTGTCCAGTTCCTCATAAACACAGCTTGGTTCTTCTCCACTGTCTCTTCTTGGAGTTGTATCTGATTTTATTACCAGTTTTCATTCTAATCCACTGGGGAATAGGACGATTTTGCTTCTGATTTTTGGCCAGAAACCACTTGATTTTGAAAGTCTTGTGAGAAGACATGGCGAAAAGCCAAGTGGACTGCAAACAGCATGATGGCGGAGAAAGGAAGAACTAATCCATCTTTTATACACCTATTCAATAATGTTTTAGAAAGGCTTTTTAGAAAGAAAATGTTCAAGTTAGATCCAAAAAACTCAGTAAAAACTGAAATGCTAACCTTACAAAAATCGCATATATCATTACTGTATTTACTACGAAGATACAACTGTAAAGTTCAGGAGATAGTTCAAAGTGCTGACAGTGCTTAACTGAGTTCCCTTTTCTTCCATTGTGTAGAGATTCTTCAATTACGTTGTACTACCAGTGTCTGGGTCACAACCCAAGGACAATGGTAAGAACATCCGAAGGGGCTGTAGCTGAAATGACACTCAAGACTCGGAGCCAGACATCATATTTATTTTCTGCAGTAAGGAACACTTAAAGTGAACGAAAATAATAAGCAAATGGACCCAGGATGCACAAGGGCCAGTCCAGGCAAGCCATTAGACTCCCCAGTTGTTGAAAGGGCCCAGCCAAGGAAAGCCATTAGACTCCCCAGTTGTTGCCGCATGGAAGGAAGCAACTGCCTGGAGGTGGGGGAGGCACAGGCTTAGGTCTGGGCTGTTTTTCCTAGGCCACGCTTAGCGGGAAACGGGGGGCCCAAAGCGCTGCATGGTCCGCACCACCAGGGAAAGCTGCTCAAGAAAGCTGACGATGGAAACCCGGAGAAGGCGCGAGTCTTCAGCTCTCCAGCAACTAGTGTGAAGGAGAAGAGAAGCATTTTGGAGGCGGGATGCTCGAGAGCCCTCCTGAGACCTTATCCCGGGCTGCCTCCGCACTTCCCATGTGGACACCCCTTCAGTGGACACTGGCCCCGGCCGCTTGCAGAACTTACACTGCGAGGACACTGCCGCTCACTTTAAGTTCCTTCCCGACCGCCCCTCGGTGGGGTTCTGCATCCGGAGCCAGGGACCCACGGGCGATTTCTGCCTCCAGGGGCGTCGGGAAAGGCACGCTGAGGGTGCTGGTGGAGACGAGGTAAGGCGCTGTCCGACAGACTGAGCCTGAGTGCTCTCTGGCCTCCTGGCTCCTCTGGAGCAGCCCACGCCCCTCCCTAGTGTCGCGCCCTCCCATCCCGCAGCCCTGCCGGCCCTCCCCTCTCGCCCACTTCCCTCAGCCAGGCTCCCCTTCTTTCACTTCTTCCTCCAGACCACCCCGACCCGTACACCCTCAGTCTCTCCCGGGTTACTCCCGTCGTCCCCTCGGGTAGGATACAACGCGTGTGCTGGGACTCCCAGCCCTCCGGCCGCGAGCACGTCT